AGGGGCTGGGCAGGGAGCGGCGGGGGCCGGGGTGCAGTGACCGTCTGCTGGAAGCCCTGGGGTGGGGTACAATTCAAGCGGAAGGGGGAGCCGTTCGCAGCCCTGCAGCCAAACGGCCCTATGGCCCCGGGTGCCCCATGCCCAGAGAGCTTGCCTTCTGGCCTCCCCTTTGGAACCCATTCCCGGGGCCACCACTCAGGCCAGAGGCTGGGAGGAGGGAGTGGAGCTCCCGTGAGCTCCTGGCCCTGTGACCTGGGGAAGATCCAGGCAGGCCCGCCCCGACAGGGTGTCTCTGGGCCAGGGATGCCCGGTGTGTCCCGGGAAGGCCAGGGAAACCGAGAGGCTGGCCCTGGGCCCTTCCCTCCAAGCATCCCCACTCCAGGGGCGGGCCCGGGGTTTCCACACTTGCCATCCCCCCTGCCGCGGGTACCGGACAGAGGTCTTCTTGTCTCCCTTGGCCAGGGAGCCCCCACGGCCTGTGGACCCTACCTCTAGAATCTCTCTCCATCCTGAGGAACTGCTGGAGCCCCCGAGCCAGTCTCCCTGCCTCCACCCTTGCCTCTGTGACCCTTTCTCCTGCCGTCTTTCCAAAATGTAAACCTTGGCATGCTTCCACAAGACTTCAAACTAACGGTGGGGCCCCACAGTACTGAGGAGAAAGTCCAAACTCCGGGGCCTGGGTTGTGAAGGCCCTTGGGGCCCTGGGCATCCGGTCCTGCCCTCTTGATCCCAGCAGTCCTGACCTCTCTGTGCCTCAAGACGAATCTGCCTGAACTTGGCACATGCTCTGCCCCCTGACCAACCCCTCCTCATCCTCCTGGTGCAGCTGAAAGTACCACTGAGGTTGGGCTGGGTGTCCCCGCGAAGCCCCCAGCATCTCTTGTCACACAGTGCCACGGTCCGTGGGCGCCTCTGTCTCGGCCCCCGATTAGGGGACCTCCTTGAGGGGAGGCTGGATGGGCCCCCCCTCCCCACACACAGGCGCACGCACACACACGCACACACACGCGCACAGAGTGCGTGGAGCAGGGCCAGGCCAGGGCTCCACCCACAGTTGAACGAGCAGCTCCTGAACCAGCTCCCTCAAAGTGCTCAGCCTCTCTGCTTTTTCCACACACCCACTCTCCACCCCGCACCCTCACGCCTCCCTTCGGAGGAGCTCTGGCTGGGCAGCTCGCTAGCTAGGCCGCCTCCACACCCAGCCCCGCGGCTCCCGGCTCCCCTTTACAGAGCCCTCGGGTGTCAGGGCCTGCCCTAGCTTCTTTCCATTCTTTGGCTACTTTGATTCCAAGCCGGAGCTAACCAAAGAGGGGGGCCCAAGAACCTGACCTGTCTGATGGCTCAGCCCCATCTCTGCAGGAGCTAATAATTCAGTAGTCACCTGTTAAAGGACGTGGGGTGCACGCTAGGCCCTCACTACATGTGTATTGCGGAAGGAACAGTATAACTGCCTACCTTTATAGCTCGATCACTAGGGAAACATCACCCCAGGCAGCCCTGGGAGGCGGACACAGCGGGGTCACTATTCTCACTTTATGGAGGACTCTGTCCAAGTGAGCCGGAGGGACCTGCTCCCCGTGGCGCACGGTGGTGACTCAGGGCCAGGCAGCCGCCGGGTGCTGTGCTGTTGTGGGGCAGGGGGCCTGGGGGCAGGGTGCTTTAGAGTGTTCAGGGGTCGGGACTGGGGGGGACCCTTCCATCCAGTGGTCTCAAGCCTCACTGGGCGTCACAATCACTCGGGAGAGGGGGCTTTCAAAACCACCAAGCCCCAAGTCTCAGATATTTTGACTCCGTGCTTGGTGCGGGGTGGGACCCAGGCATTTTTAGCCTGCCATCGTACAGATGAGGAAGCTGAGGTCTGGAGTGGGGATATGATAACAACGGCTAACACTGTGCTCGCAGCTCCAGGCCCTGCTCTAAGTGGCATGGGTCCGCTATCCACCCGCTCCTCAGCATTATCCTTCGAGGGAGGGATGGTTATTATCAGCTCCATTTTATTTTATTTTATTTTATTTTATTCTATTCTATTTTTTAAAGATTTTCTTTTGGGGGCGCCTGGGTGGCTCAGTCAGTTAAGTGTCTGACTTCAGCTCGGGTCATGATCCCGGGGTCCTGGGATCGAGCCCCCATCGGGCTCCCTGCTCAGCGGGGAGCCTGCTTCTCCCTCTCCCTCTGCCCTTCCACCACCCCACCCCCCCTGCTTGTGCTCTCTCTCTCTCAAATAAATAAAATCTTTTTTTAAAATAAAAAAACTAAAAAATAAAAAGATTTTATTTTTAAGTAATCTCTACACCCAAAGTGGGGCTTGAACTCATGACCCCGAGATCAAGAGTTGCATACTCTACCGACTTGCCAGCCAGGTGCCCCATCAGCTCCATTTTGAAGGTAAGAAAACAAAGTACAATGGGTCCAAGGTCACATGGTAAGTGGTGGAGCTAGAATTCAAACCCCAGAGACCTGGCTTCCAAGCCCATACCTCCAACATTGACCCCATAGCTGTCTACCCCAAAGTCACACAGAAGCCAGGGGTGGTTCCAGGCCCAGATCCCACATCTCCTCTGGGCAGAAAAATCAGATAGCCCCTGAGAGTGGGGAAACAGGCCAGATAAGCCACAGTCCAGATGAGAGACCTTGAAGCTCCTGGCCCTAGGCTCACAGGGGCAGAAGGCGCTGGCATGGGGCAACTTCCCTAGGGGGCCGCCTGCCTCCCTCCCTTCCAGAAGGGGAGCCCTGACCAATCCCTGCTGAGGTGTCACCCTCCCTGTGCTAAGCGATGCAGCCTCCTAATTGCTGATCACAAGGAGGCAATTAAGTCCAATTAGGGAGGGAGAGCTAATTAGTGCTCAGCTTCCCACAGCCTCTGGGCACCCTCCGGGGTCTGCAGCAACCTGCTGTCCACACACACACCCCCCATCCCCAAGGGAGGGGATTGCTGTTCCTATCGAACACAGCAAAAATTCATACTCCTTCCTTGCTCTCCCGAGGGTCAAGGATCAGCACCTGGCTTCTCCCTGACCTCTGCACCGCAGGGCAGCTCTGTTTCCCAGTCCCACAGGACATGACTTGCCTTCCCCGGCAGCCAAGAACATTCATGTCACCCTGTAATTCATATGTACTTGCCTGCCCTCTTATCCATCCTCCCTGCAACCCTGGAGGTGGGTTAGCTCTGGGGCTCAGAGAGGGTAAGTGATGTGCCTGAGATCACACAGTCCTCATTGACCCCAGACAAGCCCTGACAAATGTGGTCTTTCTAATGATCTCACCTCCACCATTCCTGAGGTCACATGGTAGACAGGTGGGGCATGAATTGTGCACATTCTTCCCACGTGCTACACCACACTCGGTTATTCCAGCTCATCTGCTCTCTCCCTCTGTTCATTCATCCACCCGACTCCATTCTGAGAACCCAGTGCCAAATTCAAGAATATTCTTCCTGGGATCACAGAATGTAGAGTCAGGTGTTAGGGGATCTAGTTTTCTCTTCCACTAATTCACTCTGTGACCTTGGAAAACTTGCTCTCCTTCTACGGGCTTTGGTTTTCTTTGTGCAAGATGAGAGGAGGACTGGATTAAAGAGTCCCAAGGCCCTTCCCACATCTGTCCCTTCTGCTGCGGGGGAAGAGATGGGGAAGGGCTGGGTTTCCCTCTTGCGTGCCATCACCAAGGGCCTGGGGGTGGGAGGGGATACCCCTTTCATACTGAATTTGTGGGGGCCCCGTGGCTTATCAAGAACAAAATTGTCCTGCCAGCAGCAGAGAGACGAGAACTCCCAGGCTCTAGCAGGGGCCGAGAGTGGGGAATGAGGGGCAGATATGATGAACCGCCCCCAACACACACGCACTCTCTTCTGCCCCCAGGACCAGGGGACAGGGAAAGTGATGGGGGATGCGGCTGGACTACTTTCTTGGGCTTGGAGGAGAGGGAGGGAGGCTGATGCCCCATCTCTGGCCCACATCAGGCCAGGCACTGTGCCAGCCTCCCTCCTTGTCCGTGCTAGGCTCACGTGGGGCAGGGCAGGCAGGAGGCCGAGGATGGAGGGCCCCTTCCCATCTGGTCCTGGGTCTTGGCCGCACCTAACTTCCACACCCCTGTTCTTCTCTTTTTGCTTTCTGGTCTTCACAAGCATGGCTGGAGTCAGACTCGCCTGGGTTCCAATCCTGGCCAGGGCAACTGTCTCCTTTTCTATAAAACGGAGTAACAGTAATTCCAGAGGGCCTTGTGCAAGTGCAGTGAGGAGCAGGGGGTCTGCCCCTTGTTGGGGGGTCGGTGGGGCTCAGTTCCCCACCGGGCATCTGGCAGAGGCTGTTGGCTCTCGGGGGAGCACTCGGCTCTCGGGGGAGCACGTGCTGAGCACTGAGAAGGAGCACCCAGTGCTTCCGAAACCTTCCCCTTCTTGTGGTGAATCACTGCTCACAGGTCTGGGCACCCAGGAGTCCCCAGCCTGCCCCAAACACTACCATTGCCATAGAAACCGGGCCTCCCCGTCCTCTCACTGACTGATTTCACCACAGTGTCCCCCACGGCAGGTCTGGTTCCTGGAGCTCAGCTTCTGACTCACCGCATGGCCTCGTTTCACGGCCGCTCCAGGCTGTGTGCCCAGAGCCCCTCAGCCAGGCCCCTTCCCCAGCAGCCCTCACTCCCTTCCCGCCAAGTTAGGCTGGGCACCCCTATGGAAACATCTGTCCCTGCCAGTCGCCCGAAGACCCATCCGCCCCGCCCAGCGGCACTTCTGCCGGGGCAGGGAGGTGGCCAGGGGCCGAGCCCCGCGGGCGCTGGCGCCACCTGCTGGCCTCGCGACTGGTGGGCGGGCCCCTGCTGGGGGTGTGGGGCTAGTCCTCGCTCCCAGGGCGGCCAGTCCCCCCTCCTTCGTCCGCCCCTTCCCGTGTATTCTGCACCCGCGCCCCAAAGGGCCGGGGCCCTCGCAGAACAAGCGGTGAAACTGCGAGGGGGGCGGGCAGCTCAGGGTGCCAGGGGCCAGAGAACCAGCCCCGCAGCCAGCCCGCAACTCCAGAGCAGGCCTCCCGGAGGAAGGGCAGACGGAGGTGAGACGAACACTTATTAAGCACTTGCTGTGTGCACCGACGCCTGTGAGTTTACACGCCTCTTCCCACTGATCACACAACAGTCCCAACAGGTAATTGCGGCTATGATCTTCATTTTATAGGCGGGGAAACAGGTTCAGAGAGAGAAGGAATTTGCAGAGGGCCGGCAGGTGGTAGGAAGCTGCACCGCCCACCGCCCAGGCTGGAGGACAGCCACGCCCGGCTTTCGCGGGCACAGAAGTGTGTGACAGAGGAGGGGACTGCCCCACGGGAGCCTCCGGCCTGTGACGCTGGAGGAGAGCCGCAAAAGGAGCAGCCAGGGAGGGAGTAAAGAGTTTGGAGAAGGAGGACGGGACCGGCAGGGTCAGAGGTCACACAAGAGAAAAACTGAGACTGGACACAGTGCCCGAGTGGCGGCAGCCCCGGTCAGTGTGGGTGAGAGGGAGGGGGCACAGAAGCCCGGGGACAGCAGAGTAGTCTGCTGTCAGGGCCTGGCCCGGAGGGGTCTGCGAAGGCTGGGGGCTGGGTGTCACTGTCCACACCTTGGGTGCTGGGGATGCAGTGAGAGTGGGGAGCAGCCTGAGCGCCCCCGGGCTCCTGACAGGGGCCCTTGTGCAAGGACGCTGGGGCTAGAGAGTGCTGTGGAGGCGCTGGGGCCCAAGCCCATCGCCCGCGGGGCTGAGCTGCAGGTGGCTCGGCCCCACTAGCCCACCGTCCCCACCAAAGTCAGCCGCGGCGACGGAACTTACACCGTGGGAACCGGCAGTTGCCACAAACCCGGGCTTTGATAAACATGAATGAGCACCTCACCCTTCTACGCTCTCCTGCCCCCACTTTACAGAAGAGGAAACTGAGGCCCAACGATAGAGGCTGACTTCTTCAGTATCATAATGTTCTTCCTTTCATTCACTCAGTCATTCACTCAACAAACCTTTACCAAGTGCCTCCCCTGCACAAGGCTTTGGAGAGACACATTCCAGCCTGGGGGTTCAAGCTCTGCGGCCCCCAGAACACGTAAATGAGCTTTGACAGAGCTCCACGCTGACCAGGTGCTGAAGGAGGGGTCCGCCGGTGTGGTCAGCGTGGGCAGGAAGATGTCCTAGAGGACACGGCTCCTGAGCTCGGCTCTGAAGGGCGAGTCGGGGAAACAGGGCTCGAGGCACAGAGAATAGCAGCCACAAGGGTGCAGGGGCTGGACGGGGCCCGGCAGAAGCACGGGACCCACGGGCACTGGGCACTCTCACGGCTATTGTGTGCAAGTGACCGAGGGGGGTTACGGCGTAGAGGTCCCTTCTGGGCCAGAGGTCACAGCGGTCAGCGCATTACTGCGTTTCTGCTGTGCCTGAGCTCCGGACCGGGTGCCAGAGAGCAGGAGCGGTGCGAGTCCATGCCAAGCCCAGGCAGACAGCACCCCTTTGGAGACCAGCAGAGGGAGGGCCACAAGGGCCCCAGCGTGGGGCTGGCGAGGGGAGGAGAGAGATGGAGCTGGGTGTGGAGGGTGGCAGGTGAGATGGAAAAGCAGAGGGACAAGTTGAATATTTGGTGGGGCTGGCGGGCTGGCGGGGAGTATGAATGAGCATGCCCAGCTTCCAACAGCAGACACTGACTGGGCACCTCCTGTGCGCTGGGCGCTGGGCCTGGAGCTGGGAAACAGGAGTGGGCTAGATCCAGTCCCTGTGCTCAAGGAGAGCCCAGTGGACTGCGGAGACAGAAACGTAAACAGACGGTTATAGTACAAGGTAGTGAACGATAAGGGAGATTTCCCAGGGAAACTGACATTGAACCAGCAGTAGGCAGGCGAAGGGCCAGGGAACCGCAGATGGGGCAGCGCAGGCCGCAGCTGGGTGCTGAGCAGGACAGGGTGTGCTCGAAAGCCCTGAAGGAAGGCCCGGGTGGCTGGAGCGGAGAAGGGGAGGGAGGGCAGAGCCAGTGGGACAGGTGGGCAGGGCCAGAGCAGAAGGGCAGTCTAAACCACACCGAGGAGTTTGGTGTCCAATCTAATGGCATGGGGAGCTAATGCAGGGTTTTCAGAAGGGGAGTTTCATGACCCGATTCGTTTTTAAAACGACCTCTCTGGCCACGGTGTGGAATGGAGCTGCGGGGAGGGGAGGCAGGAGTGGAGGCGGCTGCAGGCCGGGGACGCTGCCAGCTTCATCAGGAGGGTAGCAGCAGGGGCAGGAAGCCGATGGGTTTGGGAAGTGTCCAGAGGTGTAGCCGGGAGGCCTGGCTGATGGGCTGGATGGGAGGAAGTTAGGGGAAGGCAGGAATCATACCGACTCCAGATTCCTGGCTTGAACCACCAGGTGGGTGGGATGCCATCTACCGGAAGCAGGGAGCTGGGGGAGGAGCAGGTCCGGACTGCGGTGGCAGACCCAGTCCTCCCAGCCCAGGGCTCCTGTTTCCTCCTTGGGGGCTGCTGGAGGAAGGCCTGGAGGACGTGGGACAGAGGAAGGGGATGGGGACGGAGGGGAAGGGCTCACCACCTCACACCTTTCTACCCCACATCCGGCTTTCTTTGTCTTCTGGTTTCGGGCTGGGGAGAGGGAGGGGGAGGGGCACCTGGCAGTGACCACCACCACCAGAACTGACATGATGTCCCTGTCTGCTGCCTGTGTCCCCCCACAGAACACCATCACCTGCCCGGTTCAGTGCTGTTCCTCCAGAGCCTACAACAGCAAGTGTTCAGCATAGATTAACTGGACAAGAACAATTAACTCCTTATTAGGTACGTATTACTATCGTCACTCCCCTTCAGACCCAGGTCAGTTGGAGTCAAAGGTCGGTTCCCTTAGCCTGTCCCTTGAACAGTGTCTCCCAGGGACTCGGGAGGGCAGCTGGACATGAAGCCATTTTAAGCAACTGGAGGGGGCTCAGGATGACCGGGGCAGCTGGTGTGACCAGGGGCATGCCCAGCCTCAGCCACCGGGGTTTCCACCTGGAGTCAGGAACAGACTGGCCTCCCGTGTGTGGGTGCCCTGCCCGCAAAGGGCGAGGTGGAAGCTCCAGGTGACCCCCGAGGAGGCAGGGCTGGGCTTAGAGCCCCCGCAGGCGGGGTAGAAACATCTGGGCCCTAGTGTCCAGTCTGGACTGGAGCCGCTCCCAGCAGTCGGCCTGCAGCGCCACCTCGTGGTCGAGGCTCAAAGATGCTGGTCCTCCACCTGAGCCCTGCTCCTCAGGACCCAGGCCAGCTGGCCACCTGCCCCACCAGCAGGCCTCCCTGGGCACCTCTGGCACCAACCTCCAGTGGTCCCTCCAGTCCTCTCCCTTCGTAGTAACTTCACTCATCCTTCAGGGACTCCAGATGCACTCCATCCTGGAAGCCTCTCCAAACTGCTCCAGCTTCAGCAATCACTCCCTGCCTCCAGGCGCTCACTGGGTGTCACCGTTTTCCCTCTGGGGTCCTAAACTAGGCGGTCCGATTCCTCTAGCTCCCAACACCGGAGGGTCCGCTTACCAGCTGTGTGACCTGAGCTAGCTCCTCAACCTCTCTCAGCCGTAGGTCCCTAATGTGAGGCAGAGGTGGCATTTCCAGCCTCACGGAGTTGTGAAGAGGATGAAATGAGATCAAGTCTGTAAAGGCCAACAAGAGAGCCTGGCAGTCAACAGGCACTAGGGAAATGGTGAGTCCTTTTCCACCCCTGTCTCTGACTTCCTCTTCCCTTTTCTAAAAAAGACAGCCTGGTGGAACAGAAAGCATAAGAGAGTTACAGGACCTGGGTTCTCCTTCTCTGTAAAATGAGGCCATTAGGTAACTGATGAACGTGTTCGAATGCTCATTCATTCATTCATGTATTCAAATTCTACTCCACCAATGACATTCTCTGCAACCAGCAGGTGGTTTGCATCTGCTAATTCACCTGTGTCTTACACGTCAGTATCCCCTTTGGTCTCTAGCTGGTGCCTGGCATGGAGAGGGTGCTGGAAAAGTCCCTCCTCGATAACCTAGCAAGGGCATGTTTACGGCCTCCGCCTCCCTGCCCCAAGAGAGCACCCTGCCTGGGCTGGCACCAGCTGCCCCTCCCCCTCCCTCTCCCCAGCCCGAAACCAGAGCTGGCGCCACTGGGTGAGGAATCTGGGGACCAACTGTCACAGCTCCGGTATCACCCGCCTCCCGGACGCCAGGGTCCAGCCCTGAGTCCCAGAGGGGCCCTGTCAGCCAGCTGTCCTGGGGGACCCTGGCTCCACCCCAGCCCCTCTGAGCTGCTCTCCCTAGGGAAATCAGAGAGTGCAGGGGACTCGGTGGGGGTGGGGTGCTGGAGTGGGCCCAGGGGAAGGGCAGAGTCGTCTGTCCAGGTCCAAACCTCAGACCAGGCTTCAGACCCCTTGGTGACGGGTCCACAACAGCGGGAGGACCTGTAGTGGCCTCCTCGCTCCTCCATCTCTGTAGCCTCCAAGTCCCACAGACCGTTTGCCCTCACGCCTAATCCTACATGGCCACATTCTCTGGGTCACATAGGCTAGTTTCTGTGTCTTGCTGAGGACAGAGATCAAATCTGATATTTCTTCTGTGTGTCCTACAGAATTTTACTTAATACATTCTCATTGGCTGAAATCAATGAGATCGTGTGTTTCAGCAGCGGAGAGCAAACGGGCCGCACTCTCGGCAGGAAACACGGTGTTTGTTTATTTATTTATTTTAAAGATTTTATTTATTTATTTGACAGAGAGAGACACAGCGAGAGAGGGAACACAAGCAGGGCGAGTGGGAGAGGGAGAAGCAGGCCTCCCGCGGAGCAGGGAGCCCGAGGCAGGGCTCGATCCCAGGACCCCGGGATCACGACCTGAGCCGAAGGCAGACGCTTAATGACTGAGCCCCCCAGGCGCCCCAGGAAACACAGTGTTTAGATAGCTGAGTGGACTTCCCCTAGGGAGGGGTATTCAGACAAGAAAAGGGAGACCCTGAAACACATAGGAGAGGAGGCCCCGCTGCCTCGGACAGATGGAGCGGAGGGGGAGACGCTAGGATGCCCTCCGTTAGGGCCAGCCAGCGCTGTGGGCAGCTCCCTAGGGGGTCTATGCTAGGCGTGTGCCCCATCCTTGGTACTTGCATAGATGATGATATCTGCTCAGGAAAGAGAAGGGACACAGCTCCACGCACAGACAAGCACAGTCCGGGTCACCCACCCCGTTCCTGTCCTGCAGCCTCCACACGAACCCTGTGTTCTGTGTTCGTGCCCGTGTGGACATGCAGACAAGCACACTTGCACACAGATACACCTGCGTGTAGACACACACTGCACATAGAGCCGACGCAACAACTCCACGGGGTCCTTTGTTCCTTGGGCCTGAGGCTAGGAGGCCGGCCCGCGTGCGCACTCACACGCCAGACAGACAGAGTTTGCCTGCATTCCAGTCCTCAACAGGAATTATTTTTGGAATTACATGCTAGTTGTTTGGGATCATCTTTTCCCTGCAAGGCCAGATCTAGAACTGGCTTCCAGTGACCCATGGTGGGTCGGGGTCTCCTCCAGTGCCTGAGAGAATGAACGAATGAAAATGAATTATCGAGGACCACAATCTAGCTAAAGTCCTGCAAGGAGAGAGCAACCAGGGCCAGAGCACTAACACTGACTGAAGGCCTAAGAGGAGACAGGCACTGTGCTAGGGACTTAGTTTTCCATTTCAGAGGTGAGGAAATCGAGGCTCAGCAGGAAATGATTGCCCGAGGGGCAGAACCAGCAAGCAGCATGTATGCCCCCGAGGCCTGCTTCTGTCTCAGACAGCATGAGGCTTCGAATGTGCAGTTAGGTCAACACGCCCTTACTGAGCTTCAGTTCTGGGCAGGGCTGTGTGCTCGGCACTGGGAGGCTGGGGTGGAGGATGAGGACAAAGAGGAAAGACAGTCCTGTCCTCTGGGGCCCTGAAGTGGGGAGATACGCCACCCACACACCTTTCTGGTCACAAGGCAGACAGTGAGGGGTGGGGTGGGGTGCGCATAGCCATCTCTTTCCAAGCACAACTGTTTAAGTAAGGCCCTCGGCCTTAATTCCGGATCGGGCAGGCAGATGGGAGGAGGAAGAGGAGGGCCCGTGGGCAGAAACCTAGCTTGGGCAACACAAGTGTCAGCGGAAGAAGGGATCCCCTGAACAAAGGAGGCCATCAGCCTCCGGGGGAGGCAGGGAAGGACTCATGGAAACCCCGTCCCACGGAGCCTGGCTCCTTAAGTGCCCCTCCTGGGCTCCTCTGCCACCTGTCCCCGCCCTGGGGGGACATGCCCCTTACGCTCTGCAGGCACACGCCCACTCGTGCACTCATACACCCCCAGCCTGCCCTCCAGTTGCACACCTTCACGTTCGCCTCTCCCACCTTGGGTATTTGGAGCCTTAGCGGGACCCCAAGGATGGACATGGTGCATGAACGCAAGCAGGGGGTTGATGTGTCTTTGTTGGATATGGGAGGTGGGTCCAGCAGGGACCTCAGCCTCCCTATCCTACTCCTTAATCTACCCCTTCCCATTCAGCAGCTGTCTCCCTCCCCACTCACACACACTTGTTTCTGTCCTTTGTTTTCCACCCTGGCCAAATCCCCAAGGCTTCTTTGGTCATTAACCTCCCGCTTTAATTAGCTTAGTGGGGAGGAAAGGGGAAGCAGGGCAAATTCAGGGGTGGGTGTCAAGGGGGAATCTCATTTTGGTGGGGACAGGAAGGCTAAGACCAGCTGGTGACAAAAATGCCTGGCTCACAATAAGTCCTATGCAACTGTTTGCTATTTCTCTTAAGGTGAAAACCAGTCACCTGGGCCACAGAGGAGGAGCCTCCCCCTGCAAGAGCCCCAGGCCCCGGTGGCACGGTCCCCCCAGGCCGTGCTCCTGGGGCAGAAGGACGGGTGACAAGAGCCCACCTCTCCACCCCCTCTCCCACTCAAGCCATAAAGCTTGTTGTTAATGTTACGTGGACCCCCCCATCCAAGGGGCACCCCTGCCCCACTCTGGGGCCCTCCACAGGTTCCTCGCCGGGGCTCCCCTCCCCTAGACCTTCTGCTGAGCAGCAGCCCTGCAGTGTGCCGACCCCTCCTGAGGCCCCCACCCTCCCACTGGCGCTCAAACCCACTCTTTCCAAGCACCGACTTAGTGAGCTGGGCTTTGCCGCTCAGCGGTCACGACCTCACAGTGCGGGCTCTGTGAGGCCACCCCCTCTGCTGCCCGCCTCCAAGCAGGACTTTACCTCACAAACCAGGTCAGATGTTTGGTTTCCAAGGCACTCCAGAAAAGGACACCTGGCCACAGCAGTTCACCCACCCATTCTTACACAATTATTTTGGGAAGTTCTTCTCAAAGCCCAACCCCGAGGCCTCAAGCTGCAGTGCCATCCTCTCTGGTCTTGGGAAAGACCCGGGCATAAAAAGGGTGACGAAGGAAAGGCTGGAGATGCGGGGGAAGGGGAGGAGAGGAGGCTCATTACACTCCGACTTCCCCGAACTCCCTCTAGAAGCACCCGACTGCCCAACTCACGCCTTAAAAACTTACTTTTACTTTCACCCAATGTTCAGAGTCAAAGGAGCTGCATTAACGGGTTTTCAGTGGGGGGAGAGGTGGGTGAGGCCAAGGGGAATGATGGTGGAGGCCGGAGAACAGACAACCCCACCCCACCCCCAGCCGTGTGCGGGGCCCGGGCCTGAAGGAAGTTTGGGGCCCGAGTCGACCCCGTCTCTCCTCTCTCCTTCTGTCGCGCCCTGAGCTCGGGGTTCTCCCCCCAAACTGTTAAGTGCCATCTTGCCTTTAAGACTCCCCCTGCCTCCCCGCTCCCTGCCCTCCGCTTCCCCCCTCTCCCTCCACCCGCCCAGCCTCCACAGCCCGCCAGCTCCCCTCTGCCGCTCGGAAGGACGAGAACTAACTCACCTCCCAGTCGGTGCCTCTCAGATCTCCGAGGCTGGGGGGCGGGAGGGCATGGGGGGGCGGCCCGCCGCTCGGTGGGGAGCAGACCCCGTCCTTTGCCAGGGGGTCCCGCCCTCCAGCCCCGCAGCCCATCCTGGCCTCCACCGCGTGCACGGCCCGGCGGCGCCCGCATCGCGCTGCGGGCTTTGTCTGCTCTGCGGGGAGGCTGTCCCCGCGGCCCGCAGCCGGGACGACTCAGGGGAGGGAGGGGCGGGGAGGCAGCGCGCGGGGAGGGGGCGAGGCCGGGGAGGGGGCCGCGGCGACCGGGCCAGGCCGCTCCCGCCCCCTGGCCCCCTCATTACCATAAGAAAGCGGGGACCCCGGGCCGGCCGGGACGGGGTGGGGTGGGGTGGGGCGGGGGTGGGAGCCCGTCTGCGGAGGGGGCGCTCCGTTAGCCTTTTCCAACCCGCTCCGTTTCCGTCTCCCCGCGCCCGCCCCTCGGAGAAATTAGGGACCTCGCCTTCCACCCCGCCCCCCGCTCTGCCTCCGAGCGGGGCTAGAGACCGAAGGCACGTCCCCATCCTCCGCGGGGCTAGGAGCCCGAGCTCGCGCCCCCGAGGGCGGGAAACTACAACTCCCGGCATGCCCCGAGCGCCCCCGCGCCCCCCCGCAGTTCCATGCTGCTCCATCCAGTTCATTTAAAACAAAAGAGTTTGAGCGCTGGAAGGGGCTGGGCTCGACTGGGGGCCACTGGGCGCCGCTCCCGGACCGGGGCTCGGTGCGGGAGCCTGAGGGGGGCGTCTGGACGGCGGGGCCTAGAGCCGCCCGGGTCCGAGGCGGGAGGGGTGGGGGCCGAGATCCCGCAGCCCCCCGCCCCCCGTCACCCCCGGAGAGGAAAGGAGAGCTGCTTCCTCGGTTTTGCTTCTCTTTCCCCCCACCCCCACCCCGGGGGCTGGGGCGAGGGGAGTCGGGTTACAGGGTGTTTGGGGAGGGGGGCTTAGGGGGAGGGTCTATCTTTCTATCTCGCTTTCTTCCCCCCTCCCCAGTTCTTTGTTCCCCCCTCCCCACACGCCCCCCTCCTCTCCCCTCCCCTCCTCTCTCCTCTTTTCCCTTCCACCACCTCTCTCCCTCTCTCCCCCAGCTTTTGTTTCGCCATGCCTAGTCTAGTGGTATCTGGAATAATGGAAAGAAATGGGGGCTTTGGAGAACTAGGATGTTTCGGGGGAAGCGCTAAGGACCGAGGGCTGCTGGAAGACGAGCGCGCCCTTCAGCTGGCTCTCGATCAACTCTGCCTCCTGGGTTTGGGGGAGCCCCCCGCCCCCACGGCGGGCGAGGACGGGGGAGGTGGGGGGGGCGGCGCCCCCGCGCAGCCGGCCGCCCCCCCGCAGCCGGCCCCGCCGCCGCCGCCCGCGGCGCCCCCGGCCGCCCCGCCGGCGGCCCCCGCGGCGCAGACGCCCCAGCCCCCCACCGCCCCCAAAGGGGCCAGCGACGCCAAGCTCTGCGCTCTCTACAAAGAGGCCGAGCTGCGCCTGAAGGGCAGCAGCAACACCACCGAGTGTGTCCCCGTGCCCACCTCCGAGCACGTGGCCGAGATCGTGGGCAGGCAAGGTAAGAGGGCGCCGGGGCCGCGGAGAGGGACTGGAGTGGGGGGCACCCCCATCCCAGCACGGAAAGTTCATTTCCTCTCTCCTTGCCCGCCTCTGGCTCTGTCCCTTCCCCACAAAGGGGGAACCGCCCCCTCCCCCGATTTCCAAGTGCCACAAAGTTCCCTGCTACCCCCAGTCGGGGCTGTTCTTCAGATATTTCCTTCCCGAGGGCTCTGCCTTTAGACAAAGAAATATCCTCTCGTGGAGAGAGGGAAAAGGGAGGGGATCGGTCTCCCAATCCTGGGAGGCTGTCCGGAGGGCATGTCCACTCTTAGCCAGGAAAACTGGCGGAATGTGCAAAGAGTTACTCAGAAGCCCCTGCTCCGGGATCTGCTAGTAGGTTGGGGAGGGGGCACCCCTGGGACCCCCTACAGCTGGAGTTACAGACTTTGGGGGAGACCTGGCCCGGGAAGCCAGACTGAGTATCTGTCTCTTTGTTGGGCTGAGTGCAGGAATGGAAGGGGGTGTGGCTCATGGGAGGGTCCCAGCCCAGGGGAGAGGTGGGGAGGGGGGCTGCTGGGAGGAGGGAGTCCTGTGGTCACCCACACACCAAAGTTGAACGATCTGTGGGGTTTTGGAAGGGGTGCCTCCAACGAAGTGCCACGTCCTGGCGTGGACCTGTCCTCCTCCTTCTCAGGCTTTTGTTCTGGGCTGGCCACGGCCAGGGGCCAGAGGCCTGGAGAGGGGTCTCTGGTAGTGTGAGAGTAGGACAGGGCAGGAGGGGGCATGCTGGGGGGTGCGAAACCTTCACGTGGAGGTCTGGTTGGAGGGCGTGTGTCTGGGTGTGTTGTTGGGGGGGGGGGGTGTAGAATTAATCCAGTGTAGTGTGTCTGATACCACACCCTCCTTCACTCCAGCATCCCTGGGCGGGCGGGGGTGGGAGTGTTGGTGAGGGTCCAGATTGAGCAGACGGGATCTTGGGGACCCTTCCCTCTCCCGGTTTCCCAAAGGGGAGTGGGGGGGTGGGATTTGGAAATTGCAAGGGGGCTGGGCTGGGGAGGTGTGGGGTGGGGGAGGAGCAGGGGAGGAGCTGTCCCACCGTGGGGAACAATAGAAGAGCTGCCTTCCGGGCGGGCCCGGGAGTGAGGGAGGAGGCCTGCTGCCGGCGGGGGGGGGGGGGGGGGGGGGGGGGAAGAGGGGAGGCGAGCCGGGGTGGGGGGGCCCCTACCGCACACCCCACCTCATCTGCCCCAAGTGCTTGGGGGTTGGGGGCATTTTGCCGTGAGATCCAGAATGGAGGAGGGGAAGATGCCACTCCCCTGCACAGCCCTCATCCCCCTGGGGCGCTCCATCTCTTGAGATTTCTGGTTCAAAAAGTTGGGTTTCCTCTTGTTGCCAGAAACTAGGGACCCAGGGCCCTGGAATTGGGCGGGGACACTGATATCTTTTCTTGGATGTGGGGGTGGTCTTGGGAGGCCCCAGGATTTCATGGAGTCATTCTTCTGCCTCTCAGCAGATGGGCCTGTCTCTCAGACAAGTGGGGGCATTTCTCCTATTCAGAGAAGAGAAGCCTCCCCTTGGTCCTTAAGTACGCGGAAGTCCTCCCTCTTGTCTAACCCCCCTCCCCTGCTGCAGTGCCAGCATGCATCTTTCTGACCTCTAGAAAGGTGAAGCCCTGCGGTCTTCCCTTCCAGAGATGCTTCTCCAGGGTTCCCAACCCCAGGATGAGGTCCACCCATTCTGCGCCTCCGGGCCTCTAGCTTTCTTTCTTCCTCTCCTGCCCCCAGCCTGTCTGCCTCACCCCAACCCCAACCCCAACCCCCAAAGATACCCAGCTCTCACTTAAGTTGATGGGCCCAGAACTTAGAGCCAGCACCCGGGTGCCTAGCAGAGGCCGTGGGAGTGGAGAGTTGTAGAAGGAATCACGGTTCCTCACCCCTCTGTGCCTCACACTTAGGACAAACATTTACTGACATTAAAGCAGCAAGGATGTGGGCTTGACAACAGGTAGGACTTCTCAACTGCCAAGAGGTCTGAAGACAAAAAAGGGAGGAGCAAATTCTCCTTCCTGAGGCCTCTTGAAGGTGAGGAGCACTGCCCCCAACCCACTCCATCCTCCCACCTGCCAATCTGGTGGGGCTGGAGAAGAAGCCATCTGGAGTGAAGGAAGGAGAGGAAGCCAATGAGCTCACCTCAGGCCTGTTGCTGGAGGGCTGGGGCAGAGTCGGAAGCTAGGACTGCTGGCATTGGTTTTGGGGGGAAGAGGTCATGTGGTGGGGGGATGAGAAAGGGGACAGGGAGTGTGTACCTGGAGAGGGGTGTGAACGTGTGTGCGTGTGCCTGGGGGCAAAAGTTGGGGGTGTGCAGAGGAATGTGCCCTTTGAGGGCCGGGGTTGATGGAGGTGGGAGAGTGGGGTGTATGAAAGGTCGAACACCGGCCATCCGTGTGTGTGCGTGTGCGCGCGTGTGCACCCTGGGTGTGCACCCCAAGTGTTGTTTAGATAAAGGCACACAGTGCATCATGGCTCTTAGGTCCATGTGTGTGCAGACTCACACACGTGTGGCCTGTGTGCCCCGAGAAAGCGGGTGAGCCTGGCTGTGTGTGAAGCGAGGGGCAGGGAGAGGGACTCGGGAGAGGAGGAGAGAGGCTTGGCCAGTCGGCCGTCCGAGGACTGTAGCCTTTAGAGACGCTGTGGCCGTGCCAGTCTCCCTGACTCTTCTCTTCCCCTTCTCCCTCTTTGTCTCTCTTTGTCTCGGCTTTCCTCTTTCTCTTCCTGCCTCTCCCTGCAGTCTCCCAGCTGTAACCCACTCCTGCTTCAGAGCACGAGTATGGGTCCCTCACCTCCTCAGTCCCCAGCCCGGCTCAGCTCTCCTGCCCCCAGCAGACAGGGTGGCCCGAGTGTCCATGGGGTCAGGGGCTGGCCCTCACACATCATTCTTTGCATCTTCATACGTCTTCTTTCCCTCTTGAAACTCTGATTCTCAGACCCTTCCCAGTCTCCCACACTCTGCGAGTTGCTGCAAACTTGCTATGAATGTGGGGCCCTCTGAGAGACATTAATGGGGGGGGAATCACAGATCATACAGCAAATGGGTGTCAGTGGTCCCCGAGTAGACTGGAGGACACTTTTAATGAATGGAGCTCAAGTCAGGAGTAGATTGTGGGGTTCCTGAGTACTTTGGGGATCTGTGGAAAGCTCAAGGTCAGTGACAGACTTTCGTGGTGGGAGGGAAGGGTGTGTGATGAAGTGATCTGGAAGTTTGTGAGTGG